TTTTTTCAGCTTTTCTTGCGAAACCCTTTTTCCGGCAGCTGATGGGTTCGGAGACCGCACCCTCCGCGCAGAAGCGGAGCTCCGTCCCTCTTCCTACCACGGCCGCGAACGGCGGAGCTGGAGGCCGCTCCGCCTCACTCCTCCCCCGCGGGCGGCAGATCCAGAAGACCTTCAACAGTATCAAGATCACCATCCTATGCGGCTTCGTCACCATCCTCGTGCTCCGCGGCACCATCGGGCTCAGCAACCTTGCCTCCTCCGAGGCCGAGGCTGAGAGCCGTCACCTCATCGAGGAAACGAACCGGGTCCTGGACGAGATCCGATCCGACAAAGATCCGTCCGACCCGGACAACCAGCAACAAGACGACGACTCCCTCCTACTCAATGCAACCTTCAGCTTAGGCCCAAAGATCAGCTCGTGGGACGATGATCGCAAGGTATGGCTCGAGAAAAACCCTAATTTCCCCAATTATATCAGCGGCAAGCCTAGAATTCTGCTGGTAACAGGCTCGCCTCCCGGCCCGTGTGATAACGCGATCGGGGATCATTACTTGCTGAAATCCCTGAAGAACAAGATTGATTACTGTAGAATTCATGGGATTGAGATTGTTTACAATATGGCCCATTTGGATAAGGAGATGGATGGATACTGGGCCAAGCTGCCATTAATACGCCGCCTAATGTTATCTCATCCTGAAGTCGAGTGGATATGGTGGATGGACAGTGATGCCCTGTTTACAGATATGGCATTCGAAATCCCAGCTAGCAGGTATAAAGACTATAATTTGGTCATCCATGGTTATCCCGATTTGTTGTTCGAACACAAATCGTGGATCGCGTTAAACACGGGCAGCTTCTTGTTGCGTAATTGCCAGTGGTCATTAGATTTGCTTGATGCTTGGGCTCCAATGGGCCCTAAAGGCCCGATCCGTGAGGAAGCGGGCAAGATCCTGACGGCCCATCTCAAGGGCCGGCCCGCATTCGAAGCGGACGATCAGTCTGCATTGGTATACCTTCTCCTTTCTCAGAAAGACAGATGGATGGAGAAGGTTTTTATCGAGAACACATTTTATCTGCACGGGTTTTGGGAGGGTTTAGTCGATCATTATGAGGATATGATCGAGAAGTACCATTCGGGCTTGGGTGATGACAGGTGGCCGTTTGTGACCCATTTTGTCGGTTGCAAGCCGTGCGGGAGTTATGGGGATTATCCGGTTGAGAGGTGTTTGAAGAGTATGGAGAGAGCTTTCAACTTTGCGGATAATCAAGTTTTGAACTTGTATGGGTTTAGGCATAAGGGTTTGGTGAGCCCAAATATAAAGAGGATTAGGAATGAAACTACTTTGCCTTTGGTAAATGTGGACAAGTTTGATATTCGGCACCAAAGTAGTGGGATCTAAGAGCTCTAGCTAGTCGGAAATTTTTGCCAACAAACGAGCCTATGCTAGTAAGTTGTTATTTGGATTATTGGTTGATTGGTCGTTTGGTGTTTTTTCGTTGAGTTTCTATACTTGGTAATAAGTTCACGATTTTGGGACATAGGAAAGTGGTGTTTTTTGGTAACAGCAGCACGACTTGAATCAATTTTAAATCACAATCTAATTATATTAACAGGACCCATTCTTGCAGTGATCATTAGTTTATTCGAACAGAACAAAAATTGTTGTCCTGGAGTTTAAAGACAATCTCTTTCGAGAAAAAATGTGATTCGTGATCGATTCATCCCATCCCCTATATGCATTATTTTTGTGACTGCCTATATGTCTAAGCATTTTTTAAACATGTGTTTGTGAACTGCAATCCTCCAACTTTTAACACTCATAGTGACTAAGAGAACTACCGTTGATTAAACAATAAAAAGTTAAGAAACATCCTTCTTGTTGCCACATTCATATCAGATGTAGATTATGAAAAAAAAAAAAAGAAAGAAAGAAAAAAATGATTTGTACTTTATTTCTTTTTACAAATTGGTTACCCAGTTGACTGCATTTTCCATATTATGAATCAGTTGCATATAATAAGACTATATGCTTGTGTCTTCGTTTTCTGCTTTTACCATTTATATTATGATTTACGATTGTATGTTAATTGTTAAACATAAATGGTATTTAGTATTTACTCATGACCACTTGTCTTTGTTTCCAGTAGTTACTCATTCCCGGGCAAAAAAGCACTTGTTTTTTTGTTTCAAGTTACTCATTTCTGGACAAAACAACACTTGGTTTTTGTTTCAATGTATAGAAAAATCGAAATTTGTCGGTTGAGCTCTGCTGCAAAATAGTAATCTTTATGGAGGTTATCACAGTATTTCTTATAAAACATTTAGGTTTACTCGTGTGTTAGTTACGACTTGTTGCTAAAATTGATATTTGATGGTGGTTTTCATTTAAACCAAGCTTTCATTTGTAGCAGACTAGCAGTTAAAAGAAATGTGAGGATCTGTTAAGTAGACTATTAGCTCTCTTCTTTTGTGTTAAAATCTTGGTAATTTATGTTCATTCTATTAGTTAAGCTGGCATAATTTGCATACTGACTTGGGTAGATTACACTCTTTCTCTGCAGTTTAATGCTTCCCTTCAGAAAGGCTGGATCAAATAGCCTCGGTTCATAGTTATACGAAAGAATTCAATAGTCGAAAGTGTTCTTGGACCTCATCTGAATTTTGAATTTTCCGTTAATCCGAGGAGCACTCTCTCTGATTTTTTTTGAAAGTGGATTTATATTTAAACTTTGATTCATTTAGGAATGTAGTTTTAAACTCTTTTTAGTAAAGTTGGTCTCAAGATTTTCCAGAAGAGGTGATTGGAAGAGTAGAATGAATGTGGCCAAAATGTACTATTGCATATTGTGAAATGTTTGATATAAAAGAGATGTGTTTTTTTCTTTTTCTTTTTTTTTTCTTGGTAACTGGCTGGAGTTGCTAATTTTGGAAATATTATATATATATATATGTGTGTGTGTGTGTGTGTGTGTGTGTGTGTGTGTGTGTTTGTGTGTGTGTTGGCTAATAACTAATAAGTGCCATTTTGGAGATTTTGAAAGTATAATTATGTGTTGTTATTAAGAAAATTTGAACATCTATTCATTACAGTTTTGCTATGGAGCAATCAGATGGCTCGTTTTATGGAGTCATCTACAGTTATACACAAATAGTGTATTGACACGTATCTTACAATAAATAAATTTTGGATTGTCAATACATTGAGTGATAGATGATTCTATAATTGGTTCTTTTATAATAAATGACATACTTAACTTAATAGCATAGAATTAATTGTTCTTTTTATAATGACAAGTTTTTGTGTGGGTCGGTCTAATAATTAGACAGATTGAATTGTTATATGTTTTCTTAACAAAAAAATGTATAAAATATGACATTTATAATATATTGTATGCCTAGCTATTATTTTTACTTACTTAAATAGATCTACACTTAAAGATTAGATTTAAAAATCATAATGTTAATTAATAAAACACCAGAAAGTTCATCTCATGCATTTAAGGTGACCAACCTGATGCAATTAGTATTGTAAAAGGTCAAAACTGCCCACCAAAATATGACCTCTCATTGTCACCAAATTGGGTGATAAATTAATTATGCTTATTAGACAATGAAATATGCTTTATTTTAAAATCATCAGTTATTGTGCACTTGTTAACTATAGTAACCCTTCAAACAATTTTTGAGTGGATTAGTTAAGTCCCCACTTTTCAACAGTTAATTTTGTATACAAAATGCATAAATTAAATGATTCTGATGACATTTTTTTTTTCTCTCCATATATTTATGTATTTATTTTACTTTTGAAATACTAATATTGGGTTATCTTAAAAAAAAAAAGACAAAAAAAGCAAAACTTAATAATTTTGACAAAGAAAAAAGGGATAAAAGATGAAAGCTATATTATATACCTCATCTATGTCAAAAGTAAATTTTTCATGAAAAATGAAATTCATTTTGGAAAA